CGTCAACAACAACAACAGTCAACAACAACAGTCAACAACAACAGTCAACAACAACAACAGTCAACAACAACAACAACAGTCACCAACAACAGTCAACAACAACAATCAACAACAACAGTCAACAACAACAGTCAACAACAACAGTCAACAACAACAGTCAACAACAACAACAGTCAACAACAACAGTCAACAACAACAGTCAACAACAACAACAGTCACCAACAACAACAACATCAACAACAGTCAACAACAACAGTCAACAACAACAGTCAACAACAACAACAGTCAACAACAACAGTCAACAACAACAATCAACAACAACAGTCAACAACAACAGTCAACAACAACAGTCAACAACAACAGTCAACAACAACAACAGTCAACAACAACAGTCAACAACAACAATCAACAACAACAGTCACCAACAACAACAGTCAACAACAACAATCAACAACAACAATCAACAACAACAGTCAACAACAACAGTCAACAACAACAACAGTCAACAACAACAACAACAGTCAACAACAACAGTCAACAACAACAACAGTCAACAACAACAGTCAACAACAACATCAACAACAACAACAGTCAACAACAACAGTCACCAACAACAACAGTCAACAACAACAGTCAACAACAACAGTCAACAACAACAACAGTCAACAACAACAGTCAACAACAACAGTCACCAACAACAACAGTCACCAACAACAACAGTCAACAACAACAGTCAACAACAACAGTCAACAACAACAGTCAACAACAACAGTCACCAACAACAACAGTCACCAACAACAACAGTCAACAACAACAGTCAACAACAACAACAGTCACCAACAACAGTCAACAACAACAGTCAACAACAACAACAACATCAACAACAGTCAACAACAACAGTCAACAACAACAACAGTCAACAACAACAGTCAACAACAACAACAGTCAACAACAACAGTCAACAACAACAGTCAGCAACAACAACAGTCAACAACAACAGTCAACAACAACAGTCAACAACAGTCAACAACAACAACAGTCAACAACAACAGTCAACAACAACAACAGTCAACAACAACAGTCAACAACAACAACAGTCACCAACAACAACAGTCACCAACAACAACAGTCAACAACAACAACAGTCAACAACAACAGTCAACAACAACAACAGTCACCAACAACAACAACATCAACAACAGTCAACAACAACAGTCACCAACAACAACAGTCAACAACAACAACAGTCACCAACAACAACAACATCAACAACAGTCAACAACAACAGTCACCAACAACAACAGTCAACAACAACAGTCAACAACAACAACAGTCAACAACAACAGTCAACAACAACAGTCAACAACAACAACAGTCACCAACAACAACAACATCAACAACAGTCAACAACAACAGTCAACAACAACAACAGTCAACAACAACAGTCAACAACAACAGTCAACAACAACAATCAACAACAACAGTCAACAACAACAGTCAACAACAACAACAGTCAACAACAACAGTCAACAACAACAATCAACAACAACAGTCAACAACAACAGTCAACAACAACAATCAACAAGAGTCAACAACAACAACAACAGTCAACAAGAGTCAACAACAACAGTCAACAGTCAACAACAACAATCAACAACAACAACAGTCAACAACAACAATCAACAACAGTCAACAACAACAGTCAACAACAACAGTCAACAACAACAACAGTCAACAACAACAGTCAACAACAACAACAGTCAACAACAACAGTCAACAACAACAGTCAACAACAACAACAGTCAACAACAACAATCAACAAGAGTCAACAACAACAACAGTCAACAAGAGTCAACAACAACAGTCAACAGTCAACAACAACAATCAACAACAACAACAGTCAACAACAACAATCAACAACAGTCAACAACAACAATCAACAACAGTCAACAACAACAGTCAACAACAACAGTCAACAACAACAACAGTCAACAAGAGTCAACAACAACAGTCAACAGTCAACAACAACAATCAACAACAACAACAGTCAACAACAACAATCAACAACAGTCAACAACAACAATCAACAACAGTCAACAACAACAATCAACAACAACAGTCAACAACAACAGTCAACAACAACAATCAACAACAACAATCAACAAGAGTCAACAACAACAATCAACAACAACAATCAACAACAGTCAACAACAACAACAGTCAACAACAACAGTCAACAACAACAATCAACAACAACAGTCAACAACAACAATCAACAACAACAGTCAACAACAACAATCAACAAGAGTCAACAACAACAATCAACAACAACAGTCAACAACAGTCAACAACAACAATCAACAACAGTCAACAACAACAACAGTCAACAACAACAAACAACAACAACAACAGTCAACAACAACAGTCAACAACAACAATCAACAAGAGTCAACAACAACAATCAACAAGAGTTAACAACAACAACAGTCAACAACAACAGTCAACAATCAACAACAACAGTCAACAACAACAGTCAACAACAACAATCAACAACAGTCAACAACAACAATCAACAACAACAGTCAACAACAACAGTCAACAACAACAATCAACAACAACAGTCAACAACAACAGTCAACAACAACAATCAACAACAACAATCAACAACAATCAACAACAACAATCAACAACAACAATCAACAACAATCAACAACAACAATCAACAACAACAGTCAACAACAATCAACAACAGCAGTCAACAACAACAATCAACAACAATCAACAACAGTCAACGACTTCAATCAACAACAAAAATCAACAACAGTCAACAACAACAATCAACAACAACAATCAACAACAGTCAACAACTTCAATCAACAACAACAATCAACAACAGTCAACAACAACAATCAACAACAACAGTCAAAAACAACAGTATCTGAGTGACTGTATCTGAGTGACTGTATCTGAGAGGCTGTATCTGAGTGGCTGTATCTGAGTGGCTGTATCTGAGTGTCTGTATCTGAGTGGCTGTATCTGAGTGGCTGTATCTGAGTGGCTGTATCTGAGTGGCTGTATCCGAGAGGCTGTATCTGAGTGACTGTATCTGAGAGGCTGTATCTGAGTGACTGTATCTGAGTGGCTGTATCTGAGTGGCTGTATCTGAGTGACTGTGTCTGAGTGACTGTATCTGAGTGGCTGTATCTGAGTGGCTGTATCTGAGATGCTGTATCTGAGTGGCTGTATCTGAGTGACTGTATCTGAGAGGCTGTATCTGAGTGACTGTATCTCAGTGACTGTATCTGAGTGGCTGTATCCGAGTGACTGTATCTGAGTGGCTGTATTTGAGTGACTGTATCTGAGTGACTGTATCTGAGAGGCTGTATCTGAGTGACTGTATCTGAGAGGCTGTATCTAAGAGGCTGTATCTGAGTGGCTGTATCCCAGCGGCTGTATCTGACAGGCTATATCTGAGAGGCTGTATCTGAGTGACTGTATCTGAGAGGCTGTATCTGAGTGGCTGTATCTGAGAGGCTGTATCTGAGTGACTGTATCTGAGTGACTGTATCTGAGAGGCTGTATCTGAGAGGCTGTATCTGAGTGACTGTATCTGAGTGGCTGTATCTGAGTATCTGTATCTGAGTGGGTGTATCTGAGAGGCTGTATCTGAGTGGCTGTATCTGAGTGACTGTATCTGAGAGGCTGTATCTGAGAGGCTGTATCTTGGAGGCTGTATCTGAGAGGCTGTATCTGAGTGGCTGTATCCGAGTGACTGTATCTGAGTGGCTGTATTTGAGTGACTGTATCTGAGTGACTGTATCTGAGAGGCTGTATCTGAGTGACTGTATCTGAGAGGCTGTATCTAAGAGGCTGTATCTGAGTGGCTGTATCCCAGCGGCTGTATCTGATAGGCTATATCTGAGAGGCTGTATCTGAGTGACTGTATCTGAGAGGCTGTATCTGAGTGGCTGTATCTGAGAGGCTGTATCTGAGTGACTGTATCTGAGTGACTGTATCTGAGAGGCTGTATCTGAGAGGCTGTATCTGAGTGACTGTATCTGAGTGGCTGTATCTGAGTATCTGTATCTGAGTGGCTGTATCTGAGAGGCTGTATCTGAGTGGCTGTATCTGAGTGACTGTATCTGAGAGGCTGTATCTGAGAGGCTGTATCTTGGAGGCTGTATCTGAGAGGCTGTATCTGAGTGGCTGTATCCGAGTGACTGTATCTGAGTGGCTGTATTTGAGTGACTGTATCTGAGTGACTGTATCTGAGAGGCTGTATCTGAGTGACTGTATCTGAGAGGCTGTATCTAAGAGGCTGTATCTGAGTGGCTGTATCCCAGCGGCTGTATCTGACAGGCTATATCTGAGAGGCTGTATCTGAGTGACTGTATCTGAGAGGCTGTATCTGAGTGGCTGTATCTGAGAGGCTGTATCTGAGTGACTGTATCTGAGTGATTGTATCTGAGAGGCTGTATCTGAGAGGCTGTATCTGAGTGACTGTATCTGAGTGGCTGTATCTGAGTATCTGTATCTGAGTGGCTGTATCTGAGAGGCTGTATCTGAGTGGCTGTATCTGAGTGACTGTATCTGAGAGGCTGTATCTGAGAGGCTGTATCTTGGAGGCTGTATCTGAGAGGCTGTATCTGAGTGGCTGTATCTGAGTGGCTGTATCTGAGTGTCTGTATCTGAGTGTCTGTGTCTGAGTGACTGTGTCTGAGTGACTGTATCTGAGTGGCTGTATCTGAGAGGCTGTATCTGAGTGGCTGTATCTGAGTGGCTGTATCTGAGTGTCTGTATCTGAGTGTCTGTATCTGAGTGGCTGTATCTGAGTGGCTGTATCTGAGAGGCTGTATCTGAGAGGCTGTATCTGAGAGGCTGTATCTGAGTGGCTGTATCTGAGAGGCTGTATCTGAGTGGCTGTATCTGAGAGGCTGTATCTGAGAGGCTGTATCTGAGTGGCTGTAGCCCATGGTGTGTATCCCAGCGGCTGTACCCACATGGCAGGATGTTTTTGTAGCGGTTGCGAGATTTGTTGTGGGCCTTCTGCCCTTCGCTGCGGCTGTACAGGAGGCTACCCTCCAGCTGCTGGAGTAACTGGAGCAGTTGACAGCAACAACATCATCATCAGCAGCAACATCATCATCAGCAGTAGCATCATCGTCAGCAGCAGCATCATCAGCAGTAGCATCATCATCAGCAGCATCATCAGCAGCAGCAGCATCAGCAGCATCATCATCATCAGCAGCAGCAGCAACATCATCATCAGCAGCAGCAACATCATCAGCAGCAACATCATCATCATCAGCATCATCAGCAGCAGCATCATCAGCAGCAGCATCATCAGCAGCAGCAACATCATCATCAACAACAACATCAGTCGTAACATCATCATCAACATCATCAGCAGCAGCAACATCATCAGCAGCAGCATCATCATCAGCAGCAACATCATCAGCAGCAGCAGCAACATCATCAGCAGCATCAGCATCATCAGCAGCAGCAGCAACATCATCATCATCAGCAACATCATCATCATCAGCAACATCATCAGCAGCATCATCAGCAGCAGCAGCAACATCATCAGCAGCAGCAGCAGCAACAACATCATACTCAGTAGTAACATCATCATCAACAGCATCATCAGCTGCAACATCATCATCAGCAGCAACATAATCATCAACAACAACATCATCACTCGTAACATCATCATCAACAACATCATCATCAGCAATATCATCATCAGCAACATCATCATCAACAGCAGGAACATCATCAGCAGCAGCAGCATCATCAGCAGCAGCAACATCATCAGCAGCAGCATCATCACATCATCATCAGCAGCAGCAACATCATCATCATCAGTCGTAACATCATCAACAACATCATCATCAGCAGCAGAAACATCATCAGCAGCAGCAACATCATCATCAACAATATCATCATCATTAGTAACATCATCATCATCAACATCATCATCATCAGTAGTAACATCATCAGCAGCAGCAGCAAAATCATCAGCAGCAGCATCAGCAGCAGCAGCAGCAAAATCATCATCAGCATCAAAATCAGCAGCAGCATCATTAACATCATCAGTAGCATCATCATCAGCAGCAGGATCATCAGCACAATCATCAACATCATCAGTAGCAGCATCATCATCAACATCGTCATCAACATCATTGGGAGTTGTAGTGTGGCGTATATGGGGTTTGTGGCAGATATGGGGGTTGTAGTGGTAATGGGGGTTGTGGCGGATATGGGGGTGGTGGCAGCTATGGAGGTTGTGGAGCGGTGGATATGGGGGTAGTGGCAGATATGGGGGTAGTGGCAGATATGGGGGTGGTGGCAGATATGGGGGTCGTGGCATGGCGGATATTGGGGTTGTAGTGTAGTGGATATGGGGGTTGTGGAGTGGTGGGTATGGGGGTTGTCACAGATATGGGGGTTGTGGCATGGCGGATATGGTGGTTGTGGAATGGCGGTTATGGGGGTTGTGGCAGTTACGGGGATTGTGGTGGGTATGCGGTTGTGGCAGATATGGGGGTTGTGGCGTGGCGTTTATGGGGGTTGTGGCAGTTATGGGGGTTGTGGAATGGCGGATATGGGGGGTTGTGGCATGGTGAATATGGGGATTGTGGCGGATATGGGGGTTGTTGCGGATATATGATGGTTGCGGCGTGGCGGTTATGGGGGTAGTGGTGGTTATGGGGGCTGTGGCGTGGCGGTTATGGGCGTTGTGACGGATACGGGGGTCGTGGCGTGGCGGTTAAGAGGGTCGTGGCGGATACGGGGGGTCGCGGCGTGGCGGTTATCAGGGTCGTGGCGGATACGGGGGGTCGCGGCGTGGCGGTTATGAGGGTCGTGGCGGATACAGGGGGTCGTGGCGTGGCGGTAATGGGGGTCGTGGCGGATACGGGGGGTCGTGGCGTGGCGGTTATGAGGGTCGTGGCGGATACGGGGGCGGCGAACCTCAAACTCGTCAGCGAATCCTCGCTGACCTCCGGCAGTGTCAGCACTGAGCTCCTCAACGCGGCGAGCGATCTGGGAGGCGGAGATCCTAGTGGAGTACAGGGGCTGTGGGTAGACATATAGTATCAGTACTATAGTACTATAGTATCAGTACTATAGTACTATAGCTACTATTACTATAGTAGCACTATAGCGATCTGGGAGGCGGAGATCCTAGTGGAGTACAGGGGCTGTGGGTAAACATATAGTATCAGTACTATAGTACTATAGTATCAGTACTATAGTACTATAGCACTATTACTATAGTACTATAGCTACTATTACTATAGTAGTACTATAGCGATGTGGGAGGCGGAGATCCTAGTGGAGTACAGGGGCTGTGGGTAGACATATAGTATCAGTACTATAGTACTATAGTATCAGTACTATAGTACTATAGTACTGTTACTATAGTACTATTACTATAGTAGTACTATAGCGATCTGGGAGGCGGAGATCCTAGTGGAGTACAGGGGCTGTGGGTAGACATATAGTATCAGTACTATAGTACTATAGTATCAGTACTATAGTACTATTACTATAGTACTACTATAGCATTATTACTATAGTAGTACTATAGCGATATGGGAGGCAGAGATCCTAGTGGAGTACAGGGGCTGTGGGTAGACATATAGTATCAGTACTATAGTACTATAGTATCAGTACTATAGTACTATAGTACTGTTACTATAGTACTATTACTATAGTAGTACTATAGCGATGTGGGAGGCAGAGATCCTAGTGGAGTACAGGGGCTGTGGGTAGACATATAGTATCAGTACTATAGTACTATAGTATCAGTACTATAGTACTATTACTATAGTACTATAGCTACTATTACTATAGTAGTACTATAGCGATGTGGGAGGTGGAGATCCTAGTGGAGTACAGGGGCTGTGGGTAGACATATAGTATCAGTACTATAGTACTATAGTATCAGTACTATAGTACTATTACTATAGTACTATAGCTACTATTACTATAGTAGTACTATAGCGATGTGGGAGGTGGAGATCCTAGTGGAGTACAGGGGCTGTGGGTAGACATATAGTATCAGTACTATAGTACTATAGTATCAGTACTATAGTACTATAGCTACTATTACTATAGTAGCACTATAGCGATCTGGGAGGCGGAGATCCTAGTGGAGTACAGGGGCTGTGGGTAGACATATAGTATCAGTACTATAGTACTATAGTATCAGTACTATAGTACTATAGCTACTATTACTATAGTAGCACTATAGCGATCTGGGAGGCGGAGATCCTAGTGGAGTACAGGGGCTGTGGGTAGACATATAGTATCAGTTCTATAGTACTATAGTATCAGTACTATAGTATCAGTACTATAGTACTATAGCTACTATTACTATAGTAGTAATATAGCGATGTGGCAGGCGGAGATCCTAGTGGAGTACAGGGGCTGTGGATAGACATATAGTATCAGTACTATAGTACTATAGTATCAGTACTATAGTACTATAGCTACTATTACTATAGTAGCACTATAGCGATCTGGGAGGCGGAGATCCTAGTGGAGTACAGGGGCTGTGGGTAGACATATAGTATCAGTACTATAGTACTATAGTATCAGTACTATAGTAATACTATAGTACTATTACTATAGTACTACTATAGTATTATTACTATAGTAGTACTATAGCGATATGGGAGGCAGAGATCCTAGTGGAGTACAGGGGCTGTGGGTAGACATATAGTATCAGTACTATAGTACTATAGTATCAGTACTATAGTACTATTACTATAGTACTATAGCTACTATTACTATAGTAGTACTATAGCGATGTGGGAGGTGGAGATCCTAGTGGAGTACAGGGGCTGTGGGTAGACATATAGTATCAGTACTATAGTACTATAGTATCAGTACTATAGTACTATAGCTACTATTACTATAGTAGCACTATAGCGATGTGGGAGGCGGAGATCCTAGTGGAGTACAGGGGCTGTGGGTAGACATATAGTATCAGTACTATAGTACTATAGTATCAGTACTATAGTACTATAGCTACTATTACTATAGTACTATAGCTACTATTACTATAGTAGTACTATAGCGATGTGGGAGGCGGAGATCCTAGTGGAGTACAGGGGCTGTGGGTAGACATATAGTATCAGTACTATAGTACTATAGTATCAGTACTATAGTACTATAGCTACTATTACTATAGTAGCACTATAGCGATCTGGGAGGCGGAGATCCTAGTGGAGTACAGGGGCTGTGGGTAGACATATAGTATCAGTACTATAGTACTATAGTATCAGTACTATAGTACTATAGCTACTATTACTATAGTACTATAGCTACTATTACTATAGTAGTACTATAGCGATGTGGGAGGCGGAGATCCTAGTGGAGTACAGGGGCTGTGGGTAGACATATAGTATCAGTACTATAGTACTATAGTATCAGTACTATAGTACTATTACTATAGTACTATAGCTACTATTACTATAGTAGTAATATAGCGATGTGGGAGGCGGAGATCCTAGTGGAGTACAGGGGCTGTGGGTAGACATATAGTATCAGTACTATAGTATCAGTACTATAGAACTATAGCACTATTACTATAGTACTATAGCTACTATTACTATAGTAGTACTATAGCGATGTGGGAGGCGGAGATCCTAGTGGAGTACAGGGGCTGTGGGTAGACATATAGTATCAGTACTATAGTACTATAGTATCAGTACTATAGTACTATTACTATAGTACTATAGCTACTATTACTATAGCTACTATAGTAATAGTGTTATAGTACTAGTACTATAGTAATAGTACCAGTACTATAACACTTACATGAGACAGCTGCACCACCACACCACTCTCCTCTGTCATGGGGTGTTCACGGTAGTTACTATAGTACTAGTACTATAGTAATAGTACTAGTACTATAACACTTACATGAGACAGCTGTACAACCACACCACTCTCCTCTGTCATGAGGTGTTCACGGTATTACTACTACTACTATAGTACTAGTACTATGGTAATAGTACTATAGTACTGGTACTATAGGAATAGTACCAGTACTACAACACTTACATGAGACAGCTGTACAACAACTCCACTCTCCTCTGTCATGGGGTGTTCACGGTAGTTACTACTATTACTATAGTACTAGTACTATAGTACTAGTACTAGTACTATAGTAATAGTACCAGTACTATAAGACTTACATGAGACAGCTGTACAACAACTCCACTCTCCTCTGTCATGGGGTGTTCACGGTAGTTACCACTTCTACTATAGTACTAGTACTATAGTACTATAGTACCAGTACTATAAGACTTACATGAGACAGCTGCACCACCACACCACTCTCCTCTGTCATGGGGTGTTCACGGTATTACTACTACTATAGTACTAGTACTATAGTACTACTACTATAGTGCTATAGTACCAGTACTATAACACTTACATGAGACAGCTGTACAACAACTCCACTCTCCTCTGTCATGGGGTGTTCACGGTAGTTACCACTTCTACTATAGTACTAGTACTATAGTAATAGTACCAGTACTATAAGACTTACATGAGACAGCTGTACAACAACTCCACTCTCCTCTGTCATGGGGTGTTCACGGTATTACTACTAGTACTATTGTACTATAGTACTAGTACTATAGTACTATAGTACCAGTACTACAACACTTACATGAGACAGCTGTACAACAACTCCACTCTCCTCTGTCATGGGGTGTTCACGGTAGTTACTACTACTATAGTACTAGAGTACTAGTACTATAGTACTAGTACTATAGTACTAGTACTATAGTACAATAGTACCAGTACTACAACACTTACATGAGACAGCTGTACAACAACTCCACTCTCCTCTGTCATGGGGTGTTCACGGTAGTTACCACTACTATAGTACTACTACTACTACTATAGTACTAGTACTATAGTAATAGTACCAGTACTATAACACTTACATGAGACAGCTGTACAACAACTCCACTCTCCTCTGTCATGGGGTGTTCACGGTAGTTACTATAGTACTAGTACTATGTTATAGTACTAGTACTATAGTACCAGTACTACAACACTTACATGAGACAGCTGTACAACAACTCCACTCTCCTCTGTCATGGGGTGTCCACGGTAGTTACTACTACTACTATAGTACTAGAGTACTATAGTACTATAGTACTAGTACTATAGTACTAGTACTATAGTAATAGTACCAGTACTACAACACTTACATGAGACAGCTGTACAACAACTCCACTCTCCTCTGTCATGGGGTGTTCACGGTAGTTACCACTACTATAGTACTACTACTACTACTATAGTACTAGTACTATAGTAATAGTACCAGTACTATAACACTTACATGAGACAGCTGTACAACAACTCCACTCTCCTCTGTCATGGGGTGTTCACGGTAGTTACTATAGTACTAGTACTATAGTAATAGTACCAGTACTATAAGACTTACATGAGACAGCTGTACAACAACTCCACTCTCCTCTGTCATGGGGTGTTCACGGTATTACTACTACTACTATAGTACTAGTACTATAGTAATAGTACCAGTACTATAAGACTTACATGAGACAGCTGCACCACCACACCACTCTCCTCTGTCATGGGGTGTTCACGGTAGTCACTACTAGTACTATAGTACTAGTACTATAGTAATAGTACCAGTACTATAAGACTTACATGAGACAGCTGTACAACAACTCCACTCTCCTCTGTCATGGGGTGTTCACGGTAGTTACTAGAGTACTAGTACTATAGTACTATAGTACCAGTACTATAACACTTACATGAGACAGCTGTACAACAACTCCACTCTCCTCTGTCATGGGGTGTTCACGGTAGTTACTATAGTACTAGTACTATAGTAATAGTACCAGTACTATAAGACTTACATGACACAGCTGTACAACAACTCCACTCTCCTCTGTCATGGGGTGTTCACGGTAGTTACTATAGTACTAGTACTATAGTAATAGTACCAGTACTATAAGACTTACATGAGACAGCTGTACAACAACTCCACTCTCCTCTGTCATGGGGTGTTCACGGTAGTTACT